GCTTCGATGATGTACACCTGCGAAAGGAAGCTAGAGCCCGTAAATCGAGACGTTTAGTTGAATCACGGACTTAAATTGGATTGTTTAAATGCAAGGCTATACCTGAGAGCCTGGTATTTATAACTACAGTTCTATGCACACCTTGATCCCGACGTGGAAGCGAAAAGGGCTCTACTTAACACTGGTGCACAGTGTGACAGGTGCAACCAGGCACATACGGCAGAACGTGAACCTACCCACATGACCTCTCCGCAGACGAGCAAAGTCCTCATGTGTCCGTCTTATGGAAACTATCTTGTACATACGAATCTTTGTCGAAATTATAGATGGCGTAAACTTTTGAACTTTTTATGAACGCATCCCGTGGCGGGAACCAAGGGAAAAGTCAAAGCTGCCTTTCGGTGGTAAAAACAGCTGCAACAACGTTCCAACGATTGTGGCCTCCTCCTCTTAATGCACCCGTTCCTATAGGGACACATTGCATTCGTACCATGGGGCATACGGCGTGTGCACACGTCCATTCCTTTCTAGCAAAGCCCTTACAGATCGCGCTGAAGGAATGGCACGACACAACGCAACGCAAATCATGTGAGGCTAGGATGTATATGCGCGGTCGCACCGTCTCAGTCGTCTCAAGAGTTTTGGTTGGAGCTTCCGGAGCGAAAGTTGCGCGAAGCGACTCGGCAGGGTTGGACAGGACCTTCCTGAAATGGTCGGGTTGCCGGTTTTCCCCTTCCCATGCCCGTCGGGCCCACCCGATAGCATTTTTGCATATCTTTCAATTTCTGTCGGGTGCCCCGACAGCCCATCCCAAAACCTGTCGGGTGACGCAAGAACGAAAAGAACGAATGCTACCACTACATTACATATTTCCATCCAGTTATATTTTTATGAATGCCATTATGTATCGCTGTAGCTGTCCGTCGCCGAAGGGCCCACCGACGACCCACGGCACCCGATCGGGCGGTCCTAGCGCCCCTAACCCTGTCGGGTCCCCCTTTTTCGTCGGGTCCGCCCGAAAGCATTTTTCAAAGCCTGTCGGGATTTTCAGCACAAGTGCCATTCCTGTCGGGACCCGATCGGACTGTCGCACCCTGGACTCGGGTGACTTCGCGCCCTAGAGCTGCCCAGCGACAGAGGACGGCGACTGAGTCCCCGCGTGCTTGCGTCGGCAAAAACTACCATAAGCCAATAAACTGTTCGTTATTACTATACACACGTTAATTTATGTTTTGCTGTAAAGTCTTGTGACCTGAACACTTCGCAACCTCGTGGTGAAAAAAGAGCTCACGAATTGTTCAAACGTCCTACTCTGACCGCAACGCCTATCGCGCCTAGTTCATTTGAAATTTGTCACTTTATAGCAATTAAGTTTATGATTACTGCAGCTAATACGTGACTTCACGCAACATTTCCAAAGTGTTTGCGAAAAATTCCTGCTACTGGACACATTCATGTATAGAGGGAGGGATGTATGGGGGGATGGATTAATGAAAGGAAGGATTTATGGTGGGAGGGATCTATGGAGGAAGGGATGTATGGTGGAAGGGGGGAAGGGAGGAAGGGATGTATGGTGGAAGGGGGGGAGGGAGGAAGGGATGTATGGTGGAAGGGGGGGAGGGAGGGAGGAAGTGGTGTATGGAGGGTGGGAGGGGTGTATGGAGGGAGGGAGGTGTATATTTATGGTGGGAGGGGTGTATAGAGGGAGGGATGTATGGCCCTATGGCATATATACATTCAACCGGTCGGCCACCGATCGGTAACCGGGTCGAACTGGTCGGTAGGGCGGGGCCTCGGTTGGGTTACCGATGGGCTACCTACAGATATGCTACCCTATCAATCAGTTACCGGCCAGGACAAAGTTCGGTTGAATGTAATGGAATGGAAAGTGCTTAACCATGCACAATACGCAGGGAGGGAGGGAGGGAGGGAGGGAGATACCATCCCACGCGGCCTGTAGTGACTTCGTGGGGCTCCGGCTTTTTGCCGTTTTTGTGACAAAATCGATAACAGCCTATCATCTGTTCCCAAGTCCAGAGCTATATGTGATAGCACAACTTCCCATTGGGATGTTGGCATGTCCCAGATCCGGCTCCCAACTTGGTGCTGCAGCCAAGACAGCGGCCCTAAGGCGTTCTGGGTTGTACCGCTCTCACTGGATTATTTATGCAGTGGGCATAGGGCATAGACGCTGCCTACTGTCAGCACGAGCGAAGTGTGGTGCGCAAGGCACAGAGCACAATCCACTCCCTCTTTCAAGGTGATTAAAAGTGAATCTAGGACCTGCCAGTGATTTGTGCAGTACTGAGTCTCATAAAGCCGTTGCAGAGGGCCATGCCAGCGCCTGACGCACAATGGGTTAGGCCAGTTCATGTACACCTGAACACATTATAAAGAGTACCAGCTTTCTCGAAGCAGGAAATCAGGGCAGAGCGCTCTCATTGCATTGTTCAGGGACAACGCACGCACGCGGTACGAGAGCATGGCAAGCCTAACATGACATTCTTCTGTATTGCGCATTGTGAAAAGCTGCAAATATTTTGTTGAGGTGCTGACATGGGTTCTTGTTATTAAACCTGGTGCTCTGCAAGGCGAGACCGGGACAAGTTGGAGGCTGTCGCCCTCAAGGCATGTCAATCACAAATTGAGCACAGAAACGTGCTGAAGCAAATGGATTAGATCTTACCCACTTTGACTGCTAGCATGTTGTGCCTTTGGGGGTTCTGCAATGTCACCTCAGCAGCCGTTGCCGATTTCCGCAAGCGCTCGAATTCACCAGTTACCGCGAGCGACCAGGCTTAGATTTGAGTTGGAAATTAACATCTTACTTATCTGGTCACTCGTTTGTGTGTCTAGCGCAAATCGACATCCTAACACCGCTGAGTTTGCGTAAGATACAGACGCACTTGCATGAATTTAAATACAGAGGAGAATATGCCAAACAAAACTGAGATGGGCGAAGATATGCTCTGCATCTTCCTACCATAATTTCCTTGAACCTTGTATCGCGGGTAGAGTCTTACTATCCTAAAGAGCTATATCGTGAAGCTGAGAAGTCGATGTCGATACGGAATCAAGTTAGGGTGGGCGCACGCTTACTTTTGCGAACTAGAACGCACCAAGCCCTAGTGCTGAATGGACCTTGGCGGGGCCGCCGTAATTGCACAATGGGGTAACCCTGCAGGGGCCATGCTCCTAGATGCAGCTTCATGGCAGGGCCTCCGACTAGATATGCAATGGATAGTTAAATCAATAGGTTAACGGATTGATAAATGACGGATGGATACGATGGAACCTGATGGATGGACGAACCCTACCAACAAACTAACGAACATTTTCGCCAGCTTCTCGGTAGGCTTGGCCGATCAGCGCTTGTATTTATAATCTTTGTTGTGCCTTCAGGAATCATAAGCGATACGCGACGATCTTGCATCGAGCAGTTTCCTCTGTGGCCTCCTTTATTCGCCTCCAACGTGAAAACGTTTTGTGGAGCACTTTTCCGACCTAAATCTCGGCATTTGCTTACAGTAATCAAGTTACATGTGTGACCGTAAGAGTTAATGCATCTTCGCATGCGCCCAGGTGTTCAACGCAAATAACGTGACGCGATGGAAAGTGCCAAACGGCGTTCCTGCAGCTGAGCTTCCAAAAATTACTCACACTTATTGGAAGATCTTGTAATTGTAAATCTGGTGAGCCCACTTGCAATTTGCAAGCTTTGGACGAGCGTAACAGAAACAACAGCGGCGGCGATAGAGTGCGATAGGCGATAGGCGCCGACCCAATACCTGTTCGCATTTCTATGCAAGCAGCTCAGAATAGCTTATCCATACTCACATAATCAGACTCATATATATATATGCATAAATTTAGGCTCGCAACGGTAACGCAGCGCCGGAGTCCTGCATTTACAAAAGTGCCTTCGAAACGCATGAAACGCGCTAGCCCCAGCTACAGCCCTGCAGGCGTGGCAAGCACTTTGCGCGCTAGCGAACAGCTTGGTCTTGCTTTATTTTATATAACGATTATGTCGTTCCCCTAGGGTTGCAACCCGAGAACTCCTATTACAGAGCCGCCCAACTCTCAATCCAACTCCGTGACAACAGTCAACGGCATTAACTACCAATCAAGGAGGCCATGGAAAGAGCGGGGAACATGATTCTCCTAGCTTTCATACCCGGCACCCGCCATTGTAATATGTACGGAACAGACCGCGTTAATGAATCCCAGCCTGTAAGGACGTCCGCAGCCATATATGTACGGATAACCCCAACGCAGGCTCTGGTAAACTCAAAAATACAGAAGCTGCACACCCCGCCCAATACATGCAAGAGGTTTGCGTAGGAAGGAAGGTAATGCGGCAAGGGGTCAGGGCAAGGTGAATAATCAGGAACGATTGCACTGTGGACCCCTACGAACCGAATACGATAGCTAGCAGTGACCGAGCCACCATACCCTGGCTATCGGTCCATGTGTAGCGTGCACGGACCACGCCACAAGGACTCGTAACAAGCTCCTCGGGACCCCAGATATTAAACCCCCGCGAGCTTTAGCGAGCACTGACTGGCTGGCATGTGAACGCGCTGAGAGGGATAGCACGAAAAAGCACATGTATACATCTTATAGCGTCTTCACGCATGTCAGGGAGCTCACTAACGGAGCTGGGAATTTATCAAAAGAGCGCCAAGACAGATGCTGCAACTGGAATGACTGACATTGTGGTCAGTTATACACTAAGCATCATGCCGTTACGCGGGCATGACCATAAAAACACCACCTCAGGAAGCTGATTGTTCGCCAGGTATTTGTCATGATGTTAGTGTCCTTGTCTTATTTAATTGCGTTTCCTGTAGCTTGAGATGGAGGGCGTCTGACGATAGACTGATTGTCACGTGGGGAGTACGGCCAGTGGGGGACCCTTTGCGCCCGACACATGGGTGACGCCGTATCCTCTGTATGTATTTATACTTTTACTGTTATTGTTATTCAAGTAGATTGAGAAGGACTTTCGTCGGCAACTCACCGCGTCGCACACAGTTCTGCTTCAGGCCAGCTTGAGGTACGTTTGGGATTCGTTTTGCATGTCATTAGCTTTTTAAGGATTGTATCTGAAGCCCTTGCCATTTGGGTAAGGACACAGGATGCCGTCGGTGACTAGCTGATCTTTGATTGTGTCGCCGGAACGTTTAGGAGGCGATTGACCATTTCAGAAGAAACGTGACATTGCTCAGCATGATGATAATTGTCTTTAGCTCCTAGCTTGCTTGTTGCGCATTGCTTGAGCCAGGTCAAACGGGTGGAAGGCGTGGCCAGGAGGTGTCGGTAGGGTTTTCATGTTGCGCACTTCACGGCAGGTGCTTCCATCCCAGGCGCTATTTACAAGTTCGTATTAAAACGTCGTCTGGCGCTAGCTGGCGGACACATATCCTACTGATCCCGTTTGATTTTGATGCCCTTGTCCCTTTCCTGCTTCGCTAGATAAATGGCTGCTGGATCAATTGGCGTTTTTGCAACTGATGAGAAGATTGGAAGGTGGGAAATGGGAACTTCAGCAGCTAGCAGGGGCTAGTTTGCAGGTCAAGCAGCACACGTTTGCCGGCAAACGTTTTGCGGATGAGGCTTCAGTAATGAGGATTGGGGCAAATCGCTGACGAATTAGCCCTGCCTCACCTGATTGCTTTTTCTGTCGTTAAAATAGTTGTGGGATGTACCTTCTGCGTGCCCTTTTTTGCTTACCACGGCACACTCGGCATCCTGACTGCCGTCTTTGGCAATTAAGCTTATGCCTAGCATATGCGCTTTGGCCATACCTGCTCATCCTGACAATCCTCATTCACGTGCTTCACCTGCTCGCAGCCTTCTGGACCAGTCCATTACCCGCCACTTCCTGACCAATGTAACGGATCAGTGTGGCAAGATCACCGCGGAGTATGTGTGGATTGGCGGGAGCATGCAGGACTTGAGGTCTAAGTCCCGCACCCTGACTTCTGTTCCCACAAAACCCGAGGTGCGCCCTAGTGGAAGATTTGGGGCTTGGTTTCTGCGTTGCATGGACAACTGCACTGGTTGACGCATGCTTAGCCGGCCTCCCCATCAGGAACGGTCCCTTTATTGTTGTCCCTGCATGAGCGTCCGCAATGTATTTGCTTCGCAACCTTGCGCGTCTGTCTTATCGTCTATTTCTAGGACGATACGTAACGGTGTGTGTTTGTGTGTATGCGTTCCAATTTCCCCTCATCTCTCCTGGTCACAGGACCTTCCGCATTGGAACTACGACGGTTCGTCCACGGGCCAAGCGCCGGGCCACGACTCAGAGGTGTACCTCATCCCCCGCCGCATTTTCCGGGATCCGTTTCGGTGCGTGTGTGCGCGTGGGTTCGATGCCAATGCGTCCACCTTGTTGCGTCCAGTTTTTCGCGTTAAGCGTATTGCTACAACGATTACGAGTTTACCTTGGCCTTGCGCATTGATTGGTGTAAGTAGTAAACACCTGCTTCTGTACAGCGTTTGCTGCGTTGTGGCAAATGCTTGTATGTCTCACGTTGTCCTGCTCTCCTGCACCAATCATCATCAGTATTGTGCTTTTGTACAGGCTTTTGAACTACTTGTCTGTGGGACCCTGTGCTTTTGTCATTTTCCGTTCTCGTTCATCCCACTGCTCTTTTGCTTTGCTCTTGGAAAGGCGAATCAGGATAATGTTCCTTCCTGGACAAATGTTGTTCTCTCCTGCCACAGGGGGGGTGACAACATCCTTGTCATGTGCGATTGCTACGAGCCGCCCAAGGCCAACGCGGACGGTATTCTGCAACCGCCCAAGCCCATCCCAACCAACACTCGCTACGCGTGCGCCGAGGTACGTGCATTGCGGGGCTGCAGCGCTATGCTCCTTGTGCAGCTACGTAATCGGGATTGGCAACCGTACATGCCTGCCTGGAGTGATGTGGCTACCAGGCTTGTGGTCAGGACACAAGTCTGGAATGTCAACCCATGCCCTCGCAAATGCATTGGTCGAGATGGCCCGCCTGCCATTTGTCGCAGTAGAGCACATGGGCAAGACCTGTTGCGATTATGTGCATGGTGTCTATTATGAGCAAGACGGGAGTGTGCTTGTCAGAGGCCTTAACCTCCCGATGCTTCCAATGGACGTTGCTCCAAACAGGCTATGGAGAAAGCCAAGGATGAGGAGCCATGGTTCGGCATTGAGCAGGAGTACACGCTGCTGAACGCGATTACCAAGTGGCCGCTTGGCTGGCCCAAGGGCGGTTACCCCGCACCGCAGGGCCCGTACTACTGCTCTGCCGGTGCAGGTGTGGCTATAGGCCGCGACGTTGCCGAGGTTCACTACAGGTAGGAGGGGCCTGTCACCAAGGCTTTTGGGTATGTAAAGCGAAATCCAGATTGGCGTGCTGGATTGCATAGAACGTGCTAGAACGGCTCAATTGGTCAGGCGGGGTTCGCAAAGCAAGAACAACGGCGTTCGCAAGAGCCACGATTGGGTTGGGTTGGACTGGCTTAGCCACGATTTGCGTAATGGACCCTGTGAGAAGAATGCCGAATGGCCAGCAACGGCAGGAACAGCAGTCTGGAGGAGATGTGGGAAGTTGGGGGCCTCAAGGAGATGTGCCCTCCGTGGATTTGGTGGACTAGGCAACAGGTCCTGATCTGGAAAAAGTGGCGACTGAGACCAGAGACGTGGTGGTGCAACTGAATTTTCGACATAACGGTTTAACCTGGTCCGCTGTCATTTCCTCTTTGGAGTGCTGTCCGCGAGCTTCACTGTATGTGTTGCGCTGCTTGGTGTTACACAGGTTGTGTCTGTACGCTGGGGTCAACATCAGCGGCGTGAACGCTGAGGTGCTGCCATCGCAATGGGAGTACCAGGTGGGTGGGAGGCTGCGCGGAAGCTGTCCTAACCTAGAGGTTGGTGCCCCTTGATAATTTCGTCAATGGACTTGAGGTTGCGATGGCATCAGCGTGTATAAGTAATACAACCACCTAGGTAATTCGCTTGGTGCGTACAAGGTCCAGAAGCTGGGGTGGCGCCGGTGCGAGGAACCATGCACGTCCATTCCGTGCATGGTTCCTCGCAAAGGCGCCACCCCAACGCTTCCGATTGATCGCTGAGCAGAGTTTTTTTCATTTTTTTCGGCTGGGCCACGTTTCCCGTACTTGTCCCTTGCCACCCGCATGCCAATGTTATAACTGTTCTTTTCCCATCTCTTTAATTACATTGGCTTGACTGTTCTTCGTCACTTATATGCTGGCCTTGTTTGTCGTCACACTGGTCACATTACTTGCTGCGCGCCCTTGTTCATCGTGCAGGTGGGCCCATGCGAGGGCATTGAGATGGGCGACCACATGTGGATGTCCCGTTACATCATGTACCGCGTATGTGAGATGTTCAACGTGGAGGTGTCGTTCGACCCCAAGCCCATTCCCGGCGACTGGAACGGCTCAGGTGGCCACACCAACTACTCCACCAAGGCCACACGCACTGCGCCTAACGGCTGGAAGGTGCGAATCGTGCGGCTGCTGTTGCCTCGCTGTATCCTGTGCGCGATCCACACTCCGTAATATATGTATGTGCGGCTGGTTACGTCTGGCCTTTTTTTCGGTGGTGATGCACGTGTTGTATCGAAAAGTTTGCCACAAGTGCACGCGGCTGCTCTTGCGATGCAGTCTTGATATGAAAGCTTTTTCCAACGAAATGTCATTATTGACAACTAGTTTTGGCGTTGACGGGAGAGGCAAAGGCAGCCTTGTGGTATGTTATAAAATGAATCGGGCTTGGTGAGTAGAGCGTAAGGTAGGCATCTGTATTCGTTACCATCGTTGGTGCCTTACTAATTATGCATTCCCTACGTGACCGTGTAAACAGGCCATCCAAGAGCACTGCCAGAAGCTGGAAGCGCGCCACGCGGTTCACATTGCCGCCTATGGTGAGGGCAACGAGCGCCGCCTGACGGGAAAGCACGAGACGTCGTCCATGAACGACTTCTCATGGGGCGTCGCGAACCGCGGCTGCTCCATCCGCGTTGGCCGCATGGTGCCCGTGGAGAAGTGCGGCTATTACGAGGATCGCCGCCCCGCCTCCAACCTGGACCCGTACGTGGTCACCAAGCTCATCGTTGAGACCACGGTCCTCCTGTAATGGCGTGGGTCAGCAAAATGGTGGGTCGGCATGTTCATTAGGTGTAGTTGTAACGGCAATCCGGGTGGATAGTGCTCAGTCGCGGCGTGTTTGTGGACGTTATCATCAGCGTGCTATAGTGATGGGCGGCTGAGACCGTATGAGACTCGCGCGCAATGGCGGTTGTGGCAAGGTTTTTAAGTGTCCCCGCCATCTTATTCCATGCCCCGGCTTTCGGAGGCTGCTGCTGAATGAAGCGTCCGGGGTTGGCCTACCCCACTGGGGCTGCTGTCGGCAAAACAAGGTGCAACGCCAGACGGTGTAGGCTGTTGGATCTGGGTGCTTCGATGTGCCGGGCACTGGAGGACACAATCTAAGCAAGGGCCGAGCGGTTTCATCGTTAGGAAACTGATTTGACGTTGGCTGTATACAGGAACGGAGATTTATGACTCGCGTCCATGCTCATTGCAGGGGCATGCTGGTACAAGGGTAATGTGTCCTTTGGCTGTGTGAACCGCTCGCCATGCAGGATTGTGCTGGCGAGTCCGGGATTGCGTCGCACTTGGCTAATTGTAGCACTAAAACGCTTTTTACAGTAAAATACGACCACCTGGACGACTGACACGACTACACTGGTTTGATGGACTGCAGGCAGAGGCCGTCTGCAGATGTTATTGTGCATCCTCGTGGATATGGGTGTTTTGTTGTTCGGATGATGTAGGCGTCCGGATGAGGTGATGGCTCGTGGGGACAGATTACAAATGTCGTTGGTGCATATTTTTTAGTATCGCGATGATGGTTTGGAGCGAAACGTATTGTCGCCAGTGCAATATATACACGCGAGCCACCGCGTAAGTAGTGAGGATCCTCGGCCATACCTTTCTTATATCGAACCCCTCCATTGTGTCATCACCTTTTGGCCACGAAATACACAGATTTCCATATTTTGGTGCTATCTATATGATGAGTTAAGTCCCTGATGCCGTCTTTTTGACGTCCGAGGAGTTGGTACGTGACGGGCAAGTGACAGCTATCAAAAACTTTCGATGGTAGCTTTTGTAATCACCGGTCGCCGCACAATTTGACTCCGGCTCCTAGGTCCGACCCCGGCGGCAACTACGATAGCCCTCAGTGCTGCCCTAGCTTGCGTCTGAAACGTGCCACCGTGGCTGTTCACCGTGGATGAACACGCTGATGCTTTCCTGTCCGAATCCCTAACTCTGAAGGGAAGCCAAACCTAGGACTGGTGTACAACTGCCGGGATCCCGTGGCTGAACCTGCCGGCTGATCCCGCTGGAGTTCTTCGGGCGACCCGAGTTCGCTAACATCATTTGCTTTTTGCTTAAAGACCTACTTCCGTCGCAAGTCCACGTATACTTAGGTATTACAACTTACAACTTTAGAGTCTAAGATAACAGCTATCGACCCTAGCGGTCACGGTTAGTCTGGTTCCTGAGTCGACCGAGAGGAAGCGGAGCCGGTAGTGATGCCCCAGTGCGGCAGCATATCTCCCCGGCAACGGCCGTCTGATCATCTTCGACTTCAATCGTTACTATCGCCGCCGCAGCAACAGCGGCAGCGGCAGTTGCGGTACCTTTCCCCGCTGCGCCCCGGATTACGTCAATCTGCTGCACTAGCAGCGCTGCTCACATCGTTGCTGATCTTTCTAGGTGCAGTGCGAAGTCAATCGATGGTCGGCCAGACAGCGGCAGGAGTCGGCAGCGGCAATAGCGACGTACGCATTAACGAGCTTATGGCCGCCAACCAGGGTGCCGTACTGGACGAACGCGGCCGCAGTCCCGACTGGGTAGAGCTGTTCAACCCAGGCCAGGGCGAAGTACAGCTCGGGGTACGATATCTACGACGTACTGCGTTTAACGCGCATGAGTGAAGTGTGGGCGAAGTGTTGGCGAATGCGCCACATGATGCTTCTCGTGGCTCCCTAGGTCGCATGCGGCCACAACGCGTTATGGACGCCCTGCTAATGCCCGCCCTGCTTGGCCCCGACCGCCCGCACCGCATCAGGAGCGCCTTTCCTCTCGATTGTGTTGTGATTCCTTTCCCAGCCGTGTTTCAAATGACCTACCTAGTGATGCATCCACGATGCAGCGGGTTTCAATTCCACGGTTCCACTCATTCACGGGTTGCAAGCCACGAATGCAAGCCACCTCTCTCGCACCCGGCTCCATGATGCCGCGGAAGCGTCCCGCGTCCCAAGTCAACACGGACGGACCTTGCAAAGGAGACCCTATACGCTCGTCCCGTATATTGGCAGGGATGGATGCTACGCACGCCGAAAGAGAACTGGACCTTCCCCCAGGAATCCAGCATTCCGGCTGGCGGCTACCTACTCGTGTACACGTCAGGTACGGCTGTACGGCTGTACGGCTGAACAGGAGCACAGTATATGGGTCAAGCGCATGCATATCTACACAAACGCGGCTCTCGTCGCGCCTGCACGACAACGCTTTCGAAATGTCTTCCGCATTCCGGCGGTGGTGTCGGCGCATGCTTCTTCCCTGGGGAGGACGTCGGTGGTTCCCCGCCGGCTGGGACCACCATCTTGGCACGTGTGTGTGCGTGGCGTCAACCACCCCCCTTCGCCCTGGCTGGTGGCCGCCTCGCTAGGGCGGCTAGGAATAGAAATACAGCTCTTCCGGTTGAGGGCAGACCTCACACGAATGAATGAATGGCCTGGCACGGCATTGCACCGCCGTGGGATGAAAATACACCAGACTCAGACTCGCACCGCAACAACGCACCGCACAACCATGCTGCTTCGTCGGGGCCTAGGATTGAATGTTGATCAACACTTGCAGTATACACATATACACTTGTTGCAAAATGCACAGACGGTAATGTCTGGTGGCGCCGCTCAATCCTGGCTGGCCACCACCGTGTGTGCCGTGCCGTATGTGCAACTGCCACAGGCAAGTCGCAGAGCTCCAACGACGCCGCCACCGGGCCCGCGGGCTCCCCCCCTCCCATACGAGCGGCGCTGAAGCTCTCAGCAGACGGCGAATCCGTGTCCTTGCTGAGGCCGGACGGGAGCGCGGCGAGCCTCGTGGGACCCGACATGGCCAGGTGCGCATCTTGGTGCGAGCAGGATCCACACCGCACATATGGATCCGAGCGTCGGATCTGAATCTGGATCTGAAAAGGCTTTCCTTGGACGCGTCTGGCATTAAGGACCTGTGATCATATGGCGAATTATTGTTGATAGCGAGTTAAACCAGCGAGGCGGTACGACAACATACAGCGGGAGTCCTAGCTGCGTCGCCCTTGCGCTCAGTCGCGTGCATCAGGCGACCCGTCTCCTTGCCCTCTTCTTGGCCAAGCCCCAGCCATCGGCCTGACCTCGGGGGATATAATGCTTTTCACCCCCCGCGTACCCGCATCATCAATACCGACCTACCGTCCTTGGGGGCCCCATCAGAGGCTTTTACGGACAACCCCGCACGTGTGTGTGTGTGTGCGTGTGTGTGCGTGCGTGTGCGTGTGCGTGTGCGTGTGCGTGTGCGTGTGCGTGTGCGTGTGCGTGTGCGTGTGCGTGTGCGTGTGCGTGTGCGTGTGCGTGTGCGTGTGCGTGTGCGTGTGCGTGTGCGTGTGCGTGTGCGTGTGCGTGTGCGTGTGCGTGTGCGTGTGCGTGTGCGTGTGCGTGTGCGTGTGCGTGTGCGTGTGCGTGTGCGTGTGCGTGTGCGTGTGCGTGTGCGTGTGCGTGTGCGTGTGCGTGTCTGTGTGTGTGTCTGTGTGTGTGTGTGCAATTTGTAACTCTCTTGAAACTTGCTACTGCCGGCCATCGTGTTCGCTGTAGCAAGTCACATTTTCTTATCAGATGGCTGCCCTCCTGGCTGGTCGGCCCTGGCCGTGTCGGCCGTTCAGGCAGCCCGCCAACATCTCCTTCGGCGTCCCAGGAACGGCGGACTCGGGCGACGTCGCCGCTGCGTCTCGAGATGCAGCAGTGGCGGCGCCGCTGACGTTTCTGGCCCGACCCACTCCCGGCGCTGCCAACTCGGGACCCATGGCTCACGGGCCCTTCATCCACAGGTCGGGTCCTAAACGCTGAAGCGCCTTTCGATGCGTCTCGCCTTGCTAAATGCCCGGCTGCTTGCCCCTTCCCAGCCTTCACCTTCTTACCTCTTTTGCATCATGCACATCAGCGAGCCCAGCAATACAATTCATGCGCGGTTAGTCGCCAGGAAGTCCTTCGGGCCGGGCCGGGGGTGTACGTGAACCTCTTGCCGCAGCAGAGGCCGCAAGCTGAGGCCGCTGATGGGCCAACTAGCGACCACGAAGGGCAGCCATGCGTTGCTAGAACATTCGTAGCACACGTACGGAGATGGGGGGAAAATAGAAGGGTGGGACTGCGCGCCCGCAGGCTGCGCTGAGCGCCCCTCGGTGTTTTCTGATCGACCCATGTAAGAAGCCGCTGGGCACGGTGCAGGTGCTCTTCTTGAGAGGGTTGGACGTGTACAGACGTACATAAGTACATACGGAGGGACAGATGTGCGAGGCTGAAACAAAAACCTCGACAGCTACATTTCTAATGGAAGTGTTGAATTGTGTGCTGCGCGCCGTATCAGAGCACTACTGACTTCGCCGCACTGCTACCTACTCCCCGCCTGCACAAAAACAACAAACGGTGTCTGCCTCGCATATTGGGGGCCGTGGCCGACGCCGCTCCACCTTCCGGGAAATACACACGACACACGACACGCACACGACACGACACGACACGACAACCAGCGTGTCCCGCGCAACGCAGCCGCCGCGGGCACCCGCAGGATCCGACATCCCAGTTAACATCACGGTGGAGCCCAATCTTCAAAACATCGATGAGCAGAATGTGGTGCTTTCGTACGTGATCAACTTCGGCGAGGAGCAGGATTTACCCGCAGTCAAGGTGGCATCGGGCTCAGGTGCGCCGTGCAACTGAATGACGAAGTTTGGCCGATCTACGCAGTACCAAAAGTACCACATCTAAATCCGTTTTGCTGCAAGTCACAACTCACGACGATTCATGGGATTGCTATGCCCATGGTAGCGGCTAGGGGGCCGCCTTGCGCTGTAAACCATGTTGTATGGGCATTCATTCTTAGAACTTCTTCCCTGAGCTGATTCAGTGCGCAGTCACTCGCCCAGAGTCTACACTTTCGCAGCCTCAGCCTCAGCCGTCACCAGAACCCCCCATGTGTGATTATTGCTCATGTGCCAGCCAGCCAGCCAGCCAGCCAGCCAGCCAGCCTGCCTGCCAGCCTGCCTGCCAGCCAGCCGGCCTGCCAGCCAGCCAGCCTGCCTGCCAGCCTGCCTGCCTGCCAGCCAGCCAGCCAGCCAGCCAGCCAGCCAGCCAGCCAGTCAGCCAGCCAGCCAGCCAGCCAGCCAGCCAGCCAGCCAGCCAGCCTGCCTGCCTGCCTGCCAGCCAGCCAGGTGTTATAGATATGCTAATGCACGGATGATATCCGCGTGCATATGCGCGCATATAAAAAACGCACAATGCTGCTGATGTGCTGCCACAGGCCGCAATACTGTGTTCACGGCATCCATTCCGAGCTCGGCCTTCAAGTCCGGTGACATGGTGCGATGGCGGGCCAAGGTGACTGACACCGCAGGCCACCAGAGCATCTTCCCTGGACCGCCGGGCCCGTCCTCTTCCGCCACCACCGACTCCGAAGGAAAGAAGTACCCGCGCTACTTTGGCACCGTGGTTGCAATTCCTGCATCCGATCTGGTCACGGATCAAGTTCCAGTGCTCGAATGGTGGGTCCAACTTCGTCCCGGTTCCTCCCCTCGCCCTCCGGCGCCCCGTAAGGTCTGCTTTTGAGGGCTTTGTGTGTCATATTCATGAGGAGAGAGTGTGGGGCGGCGGCGGAGTAATCCCAGAGCGCCCGCATGGGACAGCTTGTGCGGCGGCAAAAGCTTTTCGAGTCGCCGTTCGGTGCTGTTGTACGTCTCTTTCTCCTAATGAATGGCCTTTGGAGGCGCAAGAGGGGATCCGAGTTCGGATTTTTTACACGCGGAGAGAGCCGATTAGCGGGACATGTTCTACGTGGGCTTTTTGGGGGTTGGGCCAAGAAAAACCAAGTGTACCGGGGCTACCTTACACCTTACAATTTAAACACACACGCACACACCCGACCCTCCTCACTCCAATCCAATAGGTTCAGTCCCGACCCCGCCGCAGCCACCACTCGCGACGGCGCCGAAGGCCAGGTGTTGTTCTACAACGGATGTCTGTACGACAACGTCTTTTCACGTCGCCGCGGCGTCACGGCGCTGAACTGGCCAAAGCCAAAGCTAAAGTTTGAGCTGCCTCAAACTGTGAGTTTTTTTAACGATACTGGGGGAAATCGAGAGGATTCTTTGAGGTTACAAAAGGTATAATGGTCGTAGATTCAGCACTGGCACTGGCACTGGCACTGGCGCTACAATCTTAACTTTGGCGGGCGAAGCGTGCTTGGGTGGGCTTGAAGTGAAAGCAGAAAAGAGGACTGGGAAGGCGACTTTCATCCCTGCGTTGCCTCGCTGCGCCCTCAGAATTTCGAGTACGCGGCGGACATGCCCCCTGTGGGAGAGTTTGGGCTGCAATCTTTCTGGTGCGCGTTGCCCTTCTCAGTGCCGTCGACTTGGCGGATGCCGTACTGTCTCCGTACACGCGAGGGCGGTGGGGGTGTCGAGGGTGCACCGCAGTCCTTTTCTCATGGCCGCCATCATCACTGCCGCGCCATCACCCACACGCCGCCACGCAGCATCTATGGATGCTAGTCGGGAACATTCTTGGCTCGGGGTCTGCTCTCTGGTTTACGCCGGGAAGGGCTGGGGGATCTGAACCTGTCCAACTCCGTGCGTAGCTCTTCACACACAACCCATGCAGCACCCCCATGCAGCACGGACGTGAAATGTGAGGTGCCGGAATTACACGCACATATGCTGCTTTGCGCAACTGCATATCACTGGGCACATCATGAGCTGTATGTTTCCCGGCTGTACGCTCCCGTTCCCTGGACGTCAATGTTTACCTTGTCCTATTCGACGACAAGTCAAATTGAATGACCCCTGGGGCCCCCGGCCGATCGTCTTCCACCGACAGCCTGCCGGCCAACAGACCATCCACCTCCCTGCACGTCTTTGTCCTGTCCGGGTCTTGTGCTGCCGGGTCACGTGTGCGCCCATGCGTGCTTTTGCATTGATATCCGGGCCGGGATGTCGGCGACCTGGCCACAGGTACGAGCTGGGAGAGCGGAGCTACATGAAAGAGACCTTAGCGCTTCAGGTGCGGGTGTGCGGGTGCGGGTGCGGGTGCGGGTGCGGGTGCGGGTGCGGGTGCGGGTGCGGGTGCGGGTGCGGGTGCGGGTGCGGGTGCGGGTGCGGGTGCGGGTGCGGGTGCTGAAGGTGTGCAGATGTCGTTACGAAGTGACGCAAAACGCCGGAGAGTGCACGCAGAAGGCTGCGGCCTGGCCCTCCTTGTTGTGTTTGCCGAGGAGTGCTGGTTGATGTGAGCCGACCCAAGGGTCGGTCTGTTACTGTCTCGGCCGTTGGTGCTGCTGCGGCTGGACCTCCACTTCAACCTGACCGATGCCCCGTAATCCTCTTCCTCGTGTCCTACGCGGCGCGACGTGGATACGGGGTGCTCTCGTGTTGTCATGCCGCCGCCGCCGCCGCCGCCGCTCGCAGCTTATGCGCGATGCGGGCGTTCTGGCGCCCAACTCCTTTCACGTACACGTACGTCAGAACGGACACTTCTACGGGCTATTTGCATTCGTGGAGATTCCGGACATGGATTTTCTGTCGGTGAGTGGTGGCGGCTGCTGGCTGCTACACTATCGCTGTAGGACTGGTGACTGCGGACCTGACCTGGCCCGCATTGGTCTTCGTTTTGGGAGCCATTGAGCAGGAAGCGAGCTAGGCAACGCAATCGTGCTGAAGAGTGCACAAAAATATTCCCGTAAAAATGTTTTTTTTTCGTGATGCGCTAACGGACCTGCACGATTTGGCTTGATAGTTATAACTAGCTCGTTGTAGATCAACGCGGCTTGCTTGGTGAGGCGCGAAATGCTGCGCGACCTCTTGAATTGATCCGCATTAATTTAAATAAAATGCATTTACTAAGCTCAGATAAGCTTGAGAAAATGCATAAATTGATTGCAGTTCGCTGGTCGTAGCCCGCCCGCCGTTTCCATCCCGTTCGCATAGTACTTCTGCCCGCCCGCCCGCCCGTCTGCACGGCTCACCATGGGAATTTTCCCGCCCGGGACCACCAACGGCCGTAATGCAGCGGCACAAGCTCCCCCGCTCCGGGCCGATGTTTAAATCGGTTAGCGGTGAGCTCAGCAACCTGCGGTGGGACTTGCCCATCAAGGAAATGCCAGCGTACTGGGAAAAGGAGAACAGGTACGGAGAGTGCTGACTACGACACGCCTGTATCGTACATGCCTGCTGTACTGCATTTAAATGGATCAGAATGCAGTGGATCCCAGCTACGCGTACCTCCTAGGCGATACGCACGCCAACACGGTATTTTGGTGTCGCCAAAAGGAAGGTGCCACGGCGAAAAACCCGCGCCATGGGTCGAGAGCACCAAGCAAAATCAAGCTAATCAGAGGCACTCCCCTGTCACGCACTTCTAATTCTAAGGGGACGCTCCGAGCACTGGGGCCAGGATAAGAGTCGCAGAAGGCGCGGCCCCCTAGTAGCTTAAAAGCAACCACCCGTTGGACCGTCCAGGGCTCTCGATGACTCGGCAGGGCAGGGGGGCTCAACATGAACAACCTCGAGCCCGCCAGCGGACGGAAAATCTAACCGCTGATTAAGCACAGGCCTACCCCCTGACGAACTAAACCACTGATGTAACCTCTGATCAAGGTATTAATGCAGAGGTATTAATGCACAGCTGCCTACAGTTCCATAGCTACGAAAACGCTGAGGTCTGCACCCTGCTTGATCTCTCACGTCAGCCAACTTGCGCCGCACTGTTGATGTTGTTACAGGGTGGTTAGGGTGGTTCACCAGTGGCCTCCTTCCCGAGGCAATTCCCTGCTCTCCCCTGCGAGAGGGGTACCCTAATCCATTCACCCCATCCGACTTCAGAGTGTACTATTTGAGTTTGGCAACTCACCACCAGCATCCAACCAAATCTAACGGATCGAAGGCGCGTCAACTTAGTTCCTGGTCAGCATGGTTGTTGTTGTTACAACAGAGTGGGCGGCTTCTGGGCCAATTGAAGAACAACTCGCGCCGTATTGAATGGGCAAGATTCATCTCAGCATCCAGGCCAGCAATCTTAATTTAAGGCCAGGAAGGGGCGTGCCGTGTTCGCAACCCTCACTCTTGCCATGCTGTCCTGTGGGTCCTCCCTCCGGATAAACAAATGTACCCCTCCCGTGACAAGCCCCTGGCCCCTTGTCCTGCACCCACCCCATCCCCGCCCATGCCCTGCCCACGTAAACGGCCGGCACGAACTCCCGTCCACCGCCGACATGAGAGAGCAGGCAGCGTGACACAGGCGACTGGGTGCTGCTAGCCAACCTGTCCAAGGGTCTAGCCGGAGGCAGTCCCGTGCCCAGATCCAAGTACATATTCGACGCCGTCAATCTCCCACAGGTGGAGAAAATTGAGAGCCCCTTGCCTCTGGCGCTCTTTTTCTGATGGCGCCTCTTTTTTCCCACGTGATATTGCACCTCATTGCTTCAGGTCATCAACAACATGGCAGCGCAGGCTATCGTGAATAACATGGACCGCTGCACCAAGAACTTCTTCATGTACTTGAATCCCGACACGAAGGAATGGTACATGTAAGTGCACGCAGCTCTGTGCCAAGCGAGAAACCCCGGGCAGCCATCTGGAACCCTAAAACCCTAAAACCCTCAGACCCCTACCAAAACAGCCTGAACCATTTCTCACGTTCTGTCTAAACCCCAACTTCCAATCGTCGAAAAAAAACACGGCACCTCCCAAAACTCCAATCTCTCTTCTTCTTTTGCCTTCGGGCAAAGGGGAAAGCACCGGTATATATTTTATATAGATTCTTCTGTTTCCAGATTGCCCGCAACACGTTTTGCATCACGAGTCGCCGGTCTGCCGGTCTGCCGGTCACCCAACACAGGCTGCCCTGGGATATGGACGGCTCATTCGGCCAGGACAACGGTCTGGGCGGCCGTCCCGGCCCCAACTACTGCGTCCTGGCGTGCGAGCAGTGGAACAGCCCACTGTACTGCGACTCCGAACATCCGCAGGCAAATGGGTAGAAACGAAAGAGGGGAGGGAAACTAGCACGGGGCCGATGGAGAGTGCAGATGCGATAGAGTGTAGAGAGTGCGGGAGAGGGAGAAGAACATTAGGGGGAACGGGGCGGGCCTGTGGGAACGAGGTCAAATGGTTGGGTAAAATGGTGGAAGCCCGTTGGCGCGAGGGGTGCTCCAGAGAATTTTTTGTGTTTCTCCCGCGCATTACCCCATACCCACTCACAACTCACGTCCATTCCCTCCTCCGCACCCCGGCCACCTGGCGGCCCCCCAGGACCTCCTTCGAAGCACCCCCTGGGGCCAGGTGTCAGCAACACTCAACGGCGCGTATGAGGGCCCCGCGGTCCGCAAGTCTCCCGGTGGTCAGAGGAAGCGCCGACTGCTGCAACAACAGCAGCAGCAGCAGCCGCAACAGGCAACGCAGCAAGATGCTACTCCTCCTACAGTTCCACGCACGAGGCGGCGCGCCGGCGGTGCATCGCAGCCGGGCGGCGGCGGCGGCGGGGCGGCCGGAATGGAGTTTCCTTACAAGGCGGCGGGCAACAACATCACAACGGTAAGGTCATCTCCGTACGGTACGACGCAAGAACGGTGTGGCTAAAAGCGTTTTATAGTACGGCAGCGACCGTGCGCAATCTTGCCCCAGTCATCCTCTCCTATTTTATCCGCCTGCCAGTAACGCACCCAGCTCGCACCCGCCCGCAGCTCCCCCTGGGAGGTCTTACCTCCGGTGCCGTCCCCCACCCCCAACCCCCGTGTAACTGGCACGGTGTTTGGCAGTTCCCCATGCCGCGAGGCTGGGACAACCCCGACCGGTCCACCATTTCCCAGACAAGTCCCAACGGCCCAACCGGCACTTACAACCACCTGTACGACGCCATCCTGGGTGAGACCGCTGCGAGAGTGCCGAGGGGCGGTGAAGGGTTGAAACGGACCAGCTGCTGCAGTCCTGCAGCTGGAGTGTCGAGCGCTAGCTGCGTGTTATTTCGCAAGGGTTGCCAGTTCCGCCTGGTTCGCTAAAGGAGGCGTAATAGATAGAGTGTTTGGAGGTTTTGACATATGGAAGGAGATTTGCTCTGTCTCTGCCAGTAAGGGCGGCCAGGTCTTTGCGTTCTGCTCTTTGCTGCGCCCCGCGGCTAACGACACCCTTGCAACACGACACCCCTCTTCCTGCACCCAACGCAACCTTTGCCAGCATCCGCGCATTCGCACCCAAGCTACAAGAAAACACTTAATCATCACTCGACCTGCAGATGTTGCCAGTGCGAGGGCCATGTACATGAGGCGGCTCAGATCAATGGCTGACAAGTACCTAGCGGGTGGAGTGCTGGCCCAGGTGCGAGCTGTGCATATGCATGTATGTATGTATGTATATATATGCATGTATGTATATGCATGTATATATATAAGTATGTATACATATAAAAGTATGTATGTATATATAAGTAGTGTGTATGTATGTATGTATGTATGTATGTGTACATGGACCGGGTGAGGTGGGGGGGGAACAATTGCGTCCCATGGTTCACGGGCCGTTTGAGATCATGGTGTTGGCTGGGGTTGGCATAACGGGCGCCGGGGTTTTAGGGTTTTAGGGTTTTAAGGTTTTGGGAGTCCGATGTGATCGGCCCCACCCCTTTCCATCCTTGCAGCAACTTTCTCCCTCGCTTTCCCTGAGGCCTTCGGTGCGCCACAGCTGCACCATCACCACCTCACAGCAGCCTTCGCCTCTGCCTCTGCACCATCCATTGCCATTCATATTATTTCCCCTCCTCCCACCATACCACTACCGTTAGGTTTACCGTTGTTTCTTCCATTGCCGTTCTGTCTTGCCGCAGTTCGCTAACCAGACATATGTACGTATCAAACCGCTGGCCGATCTAGACGCCAAGACCTGGAACTCTGGTATTGAATGTGTCCAGATAGCGGTGACTGGTACCGTACATGTATTGTTATGTCGTACACTGCGTCTCCAGACCCGGTCCAGTCAGCGTGTTTGCCGTACGTGCTCGTCTCCTTTCGGTGCTACAGAAGCGCGTGGGTGTGTGTATGTATGTATGTATGTATGTGTGTGATCTATGTGTGTGCGTGTGCATACATTTGCGCAGATCCAATTTAACCCTAAGTGAATAAGCAAGCGCCATGTTTCTGTGTTTCCACAGCCACAGCCAGCAGGCCCTGGCCTGTGTGAGGCCCGGTCAGAGACTTGTACCCTGCACATGCAAGTACACACACGCGCAGGCACAAACACCACAAACATACATACATACAAACACACACGCACATGCGTGCGCTCTCATACTACCCGCAGGCATATCCATCGATCGCGGCTTCCAGCAGATTACGCAGGAGTTCCTGCCCGTACGGAAAGAGCAGCTCCTAGGCGCCCTGTACGGACCCAAGGGCAGACGGCCGCTGCTGCCGGAGGCGCAACCCGCCCAGGTGGGAGCCATGACAGCTAAGAGGGGGGTGGGTGGGGCAGGGTGGGGAGGGGGGGAGGGGGGCAGGATGGGGGGCCTGGGGGTGTCATGACGACTAAGAAAGGGGGGGATCCGGGCGGAATGATGTGTCCCATACATCCCACTCGTTGAACAGTATAGATTAACAATACAGAGATGACGGAAAACACCACTGCGACTTGGGCCCAACCCAGTGGGGCGGGGTGGGGTGGGGTGGGGTGGGGTGGGGGATACACACCGCCTGCCGGCCCCACCCTGCCGTTTCGCCGTTTTTCTCCTTCCCACTTTCCTTCCTCACGTTCACTCACTCAAAATCAATCCCCCAACCCCCCATCCATAAAAACGGGGAAAGGTGTCTCTTCGGATTGCCCGCTTCGTGACTGCGGAGTCAGGCACAACGGGTGGCGACGCCTCGGGCTTCTTGGAGGTGGCCAACCCCAACCAATTCGCTGTGGATGTCTCCGGTTGGCGGCTGGAGGGGCCCGCCACATTTACCTTTCCCCCCGGTACGGCAGTCGCTTTTCCGTTCAAATCGTACACCGCGTTGCAGCTAAAAATTTGCTCAACACCAGTCGGAGTCGGAACGTAGTACGAAGAAACGGTAAAACAGCATGACCACTTGTACGACTACATACGGCATATGCCCGGCACCGTACGTTTAATATCCTAAAACGGCCGTTACTGCCGGTTTCTTCTTCTGCATGTATAAAAAGTGTACACACATTTTGCTGCAGTTGCAGCGGCGGCGGCGGCTGCGGCGGCGTTATCCAGTTTCTGATTCCCTCTCTTTGGGAGACCTTGCATGGCCCTCCCTCTTGATCCCTCCCTTGATCCCTCCCATCAAAACAACTTCACCATAACGATAAAACCAAAAATGAGGAATTTCTCACTGTGCATGGAACCCCCCTCCCTTCCGTTCGTCTTTCCCCCTCCCTTCCGCTTCCTCCCCCCCTTCCGCTGGTAGGTACCGTCATCCCCTCCGCCGCAAGTGCCTTCATCACGGTGGATCCCGTGGAATTCAGGTCCCGTACGACGCCACCCTCGGGGGGCCAGGGGCTGTTGGTGCTGTCGCCGCTGCAACTCGGGGAGGCGGCGGCGCAGGGCGGCGGCAGCGGTGGCGCCTCCAGCGCCGCCAGTTCCGGGCCATATAAGCTGATTGACACCGCCGGCACATCCGTTCACCAGATGAACACAGGAACCTCCAGGAAGTTGTCGTGAGGCGTCTTCTATCTGCAGCAGAAGAAGAACAGAAGAACTGAAGAACTGAGGTTAGGACGTCTTCTTTTCCCTACAGCTGCCGATGGAGAGTGAGGAGTTAGGAGAGTAACGGGTATCAAGTGTACAGGAACAGCTTTGTTGGCCTTGAGATGGAGTGACTCCGCGAATTATTATTAAGTTGTTACCACACTTGAGTTGTTAGTCTGATGCAGGATACTACTGTATTAGAAGTGGGTATCGCTTGGAGCGTCGTACTAATGTTGTCTGGTGCAGATAGATGCCGTACAAGAGGGGAATGGGATGTGCTGGATGTGTCGTACGTCCATGCACGGGAGGTCCTTGGGGTGCAGGCATAATGTTGAGTAGGTTGATCTCCTCTCCTTTCATTGCTGATTTCTAAAAAGGTCTCGTCTTTCTTCCTGGGAAAGCACGCTTACGCAAACCGAAGTCTAAGGCTGAAACCGGACGGGCGTATCTGACACCTCGTAGTAGACTGTCCGCGATATAACTTTTTTCCCGTGTAAGGGAACGGATGCGGCGAGAAAGCGGAAGAGATGGATGCTTTTGAAAGAAGATCAACGCTTCTTACATGACCTAAAATGTGCACAGAAAAAAGAAACGTTTAACCCTTTTGTCCGAAGAAAAAAGAAGTGCCTTGTCAACAGAGCACCCGAGTTGTGATCATGATATGCACCAACAGATCCGCCAACTGTTCACAGTAGCAACCAGCCGCCCTCACATCCCCATAAGACCACAAAATCGTCACCTGACAGAAACCTCTGCAAGCTTCTTTGCCAAGCAGACAGAGAGCCCCTCCCCTCTCTCCTCGACCTCCTCCACGACCCGCTCGTCTGCATCTATATCGTACAACTACTCCCGTTCGTAATTTTCCCGCTCGTATTCCTGTTTAATGTTTAATTGGCATGCAACCTGACAGAGCAAAGGTAATCTGGGCCAAGGAGACACAATCACACAATCACATCACAACACCAAGCAAAGCGCCAACGCCGTATGAGGCACGGAAGCGTGTCGTGTGCATGGCATATGCAAACTCGCCTCAACGGTACCGTTCTCCGCAAGTAGATTCTTAATCTGTTTCGAAGCGCCATAAGCAACTTCCTAACAACATCTTAAACGCAGCAGCACAACCTTGCACAGCCAACGCATCCTTTATATGCGCGCGCGCGAGGGAGAGGGAGAGAGAGAAAGAGAGAGAGAGCGCCCTCTTGGACAGCCCTACAGGCACCCCATACCCCCTCGTTACCCCGGGTGGGAGAAGGCTGCAGGCAGACACCCCCCGGGGGCAGGTGGGCCTCATCACCGCTTCTTTCCGTTCTTATTTAGTTGTCATGTGTCATGTACAGTTGCGGTTGGGGCCGGCAGACCAACGGAATACCCCTTCCCCTTCTTTGCCCTCCTCCCCCCTCCCGCCGCCTCCCCCCTCCCGCCGCCTCCCCCCTCCTCCCTCCTCCTCCTCCCTCCCCCCGCCTCCCTCGCAGTTTGTAAGTCTCCACTCCTCTCCTCTGCCCTCCATTCACATTTGAGCACTCAGCGGAAGCACCTGCGGCCGTTGGTCGTTGGTCGTTGCGCCCCCGGGAGGGAGGGGGGGGTAACGTAATCAAAAAGCGCTGTACGGCAGCGATAAAGTAATGACAACTGGTTACCCCTGCAGCAGCACCTACAAAACATGCGCAAATACCCCCGTACATACATATACATATATACATACATACATACATACGTACATACATACACGCGCACAGAGCCACCAGCTCGCGCCCGGCATCAGGCTGCAGCAACAGCCCACCAGGCGCTCAGGTGTTGCATGACACCTCAATCCCATCCGCCCCAAGCACATACAGAAACACACATACACAGACAGACCTGTGTAGACGCACCTGTGCCTTCCGGACGGTCTCCTTGGCCGTGACAATGTCGTACATTGAGATTGCTTGCCGGTTCAAGGCTGCCTCGACGCGCTCCTTGTACGGCAGCGGAATGACGTCATTGGCCGTCGCGTACATCGCTATGAGGGGGCCCTGCAAAAGCGCGGAACCCATTAAAAAAACAGTGGAATTCTAAATGTGTTTACAAGTTAGGAAGGTGCCCCCATTCATCGTCGCGCATATGCTGGTGCTTGGATCGAGTCGTGCGAGGCGGGAGGGGGCGGTTGACCAACCGCCAACCACCACCACCAACAGCTCCCGGGCAAAAGGACACTTCAGTGCGGAAAAGCCACTCATTAGTCTCGTTGGAACCGTCATGCATTATGTCTCATCTACCTTTAGTAAATCTTAAATGTATCTTAAAAACCTTAAATAAACCTTAAATAAATCTTAAGTATACCTTACATCTCGTCATCGTCTATACGGAAAGATTTGAGCACGAGGAGCGACTGGAGGTGAAGGAGGAGGTGAAGAGGTCGGAGGACCACCGGCCGCAAAGAAAGAAAAAGAGCACCGGTCCCGGTCCCGGAAGACCCAGATCAGCATCCCGTTCATTCCTTTCCCAATTCCATCCGCCCTGAACCTCACTCCTCGCCGCACACCGGGGGGGTCATGTCGTCTAAAAAGATGGCAACGGGTTTTCCTTTCCAACTCCTGCCTTTCCCTCCTCATCAAACTTCGCTCCTCCTCCTCCTCCTCCTCCTCCTCCCCCACCACCACCACCACAATCATTACCACTACCACTTCACCACGTCTCACCAGTAGCATGATGCGATGTCGGAAGGTGCCCATCCAAGCTTCGCGATTTTTCTGTATCCATTGATGGGGCGGGCCAGGTCAGACAGACAGACAGACAGACACACAGACAGATAGACAGACAGGCGGGGGCGGTCAGATAGCCCAACAGAAGCGCGGGCAGCATGCGGGTATTATAGACAGGACACAAACAAGAGGAAGCTGAGAGGTGGGTATTTGCCATTGACGGACGTTTTCCGGCATACCGTACACGCCGTACACGCCGGTGTATCTGTATGTAGCTGCATGGGCCCAACCGCGACAAGCCCAACCGCGGGCTCCAATCAGCCGCCAACCACCAGCTGCTAACCGCCAACCACAACTGTCCTCCAACCGACACCAACCAGAGCAGCTAACCACTCACTTGGGCCAGGTGGTAGAACCCCCTGAGGTAGGTGTAGGCAACAAGGCCCACGGAGCCGATACAGCCTTGGAACAGGGGGAGCGAGAGGGGGACATGAAGTTCAAGATCTGGATTTTGGCGGGAATTCGTCGCGGGAAATTTTTAAATATGGCGCCAAGATTTGAATGCACCCCATCCTTGAGGGCAGTCAGGAGGCACACCGCGCCAGCAGGTTTAAGGCAAAAGAGAGACAAGAGATAATTGCTTGAAGGAGAGGCGGAAGGGGAAATTCGTATGTAGACATGCGAACAGCGTTATCTGTCATGATATGTATTTAGCTGGCTGCAGCATAGCGGCCAGGACGTTGGTAGCGGTTCCAGTAGAGCGGGGGGCCCCGGCGCAGGTTGAACACGTCGGAGTGCGATTATGCAGCGGAATGGTAAAGCTCTGAGGCTGTAAAGCTCTTCCCAGCAGGGACCTACCATACTTTACGGCATAGGGCCCGATACGCTGCTGCTCTAGTATGTCGTAGGCGCGCGATACCTGGTCCCGCGACAACTGCACGGGTGGCTTTTCCGCGGCTTTTCGCAAGGCCGCCTCAGTCTGCGCCATCATCGGCGGCTTTGCACGCTGTCGAGGCATGTGTTGGATCACACCGGGCTCTCGGCAAATGGGAGTTGTGGATGGTGGAGTGTCGGAAGGGGCTGGTTCAGACATGGCCGCTTGTAAGGTGAGCAAAACAGCGAGGGTTGAAGGAAGCTCAGATAGTAAAACTCTTGAACTAATCTAGAGCGAGGCCAAAGGATGGCCTATCCGGAAAACTTCGCTGGCACCTGGCGGTTTAGCAGCAAGAACGAACCGAATATATGCGTAATTTTCAGATGTTGTGCTGTGCGCATCAAACTTGCTGATCATGTGAGGGGGACTAGATGATGGTTCAGGTACTGTACGTCAAGCAACGACGCCTGGAGTTGCTAGCCGCTTAATCGTCCCTTAAAACATACTTTTCATGCACCACATTCCAGTAATATGGGACAATGGAGTTCGGGCCCGACCCGGTGGGCCGGCCCGAACATATCCACCTTACAAGGCAGAAAGGAAAGAATCGTTGGAGCCGAACGAACACACGTGATGAAATAATTGCTTCATAGCTACATGGCATGTGCAACTTCCAGTCGATAGCCCAAGATCGCTGTGCCATAGAACACAAATGCAACTGCTGGTTCGTATGTGGTTCGTGTACACGGCTGCCATACGGGCAACAAGCAACTCCTTCTGACCTGCGGTATCTACAAACAGCGTTATTTGATAACAGCATGTCGTCGACCGAGGATAGCTTGTCATGCTAGCGCTTCGTGTGCCTAAGCAACGAAGTGCATTGCATACAGCACAAACCCCATGTTTTGTGGAAAACTGTGTTATTGCCCTTGGTAATCACGAATTTTCGATAAGAGTAACCAAATCGTGCGATCGTTTGCTTGCTTCAAGGTCCCAGTACGGCGCTCGTACCAACTTACAAATACTCTTGGCATGGCAGTGCAATAATCCAAGCTCTGCATACTGGGTATCCACAGAAAAGCTTCATATATAGTCACATTTTAACCCCTGTAAATATGCATTCTACAGCAGCTTCGTAAACGTACCTTCCTAACTGCGACAAATGTGTGTGTAACAAATGCCAAGCACAAATCGCTCAAGGCAGCGCTCAGTGGCCGATCAGGCGGCGGAAGAAGAGGAATGGGATCCTGCCGACTGGGAATGGCAACCCCTAAGCATGCGCGCGCGCAAGAAGGCTCGCAGTGGAGCAAGCGGTGGGTGACTTACACAAAGGATAACAAATGTGTCTTTGTTCTTACTTATTTCAGCTCAAGGGAAGTCCGTGACATCCTTGTACTCGCGAACCCTCTGCCTGTTTGGCTCAATTTCGCCGTGTTTAACTCAAAGTAACCACCTGTAATGCTGCCTGCAAAGGACAGATGGTTTCGAGGCGGCCAACTTGGCGTTGGACCCTCCACCTTGCGCAACACCCGGCAGCGATGTCGAGCCACCTGTCAGCGTGGCTTTAAAGCTGGAGCAAACAGCGGGGCAAGCTGAGCCAAAGTTTGCAAACCTGCCCGTGTATAATACATTGAAAAAGATAGAAAGCAAGCCAGATGTATGCGTGGTAAGTATTCGCAGACGTACCTTCCGACTGGCTTGCTAAGCAAATCTCTCACGCGCACGGAGCCGAGTCTCTGCCTCACGCTGGAATTCCCTAATCCCAATCGCAGGTCGACGGTTGTGATGCCAACCTCGCTGGCTTGAAACGCTACTTCACACGGCTCCGCATATGCGAGGGTATGTCAACATGTGTGGCACGACCAACTCAGCAACATCACTCTTGTTACATAAACCACTTGCCAAGTATTTAAAAACAACACAAAAATTGCCAAATTGCAGTTGTCAGCCGCGTATCGTGGCCCTGTCCAGGTCTTGCTAAGTGGTCTTCTGTTCGTTGTTCCTACTGCCTCACGACCTGTCCATCCCGCCTGCTGCCCGTTTCCGTAATCCCTGCCCAACAGCGCACTTGAGCGCTAAAGCAATCGTGGTGGACGGAGTCATTAGCCGTTTTTGCCAACAGGTACGGTAGACACTTTGTTATTTTTACGGCGAAATATGTAGTACGGCAGCTGTGTTACCGTCGGTTAAACTTTCCCATGAATTCTGTTAGGGGCCCCTTTCCTTCATCCGCCATTTTTCTTTAATGCCATATGTTCTTTACATTACCAAATGGCTTGTTGTACATTGCCCTGCCGTACTTGCACTCGTCCGTACTGGCTCGCTCAGCCCTGTCCTTGACGGTGTATTGAATCATTCTCTGCTTGTCTGGCATCTCCTCCGCTGCTGTGTCCAGTGACCCTCTTTTTCATCCCCTTTCATCTCCAACTCATAATACTCATCATACTCCCCTCCTTGATATTTCCCCTCTGGTATCTACTACTTCACCCGCCAGTGGCTCGTCTTACTCCCCCTCCCCCACCACCTTTACACGCCGGCAGTCCATTCCCCACTTCCTTGCATTTGGTGCGGCCCCCCCTCCCCCATGATCCCTACCTTCACTCGCTCATGGTTCGTCTCCCCCCCCCCGCCCCCACCGTCTCTCCCGCAGTGTGGTCGCTTCCAGCCTCTGAAGGACTTCACTGGGAAGAAGAAGTAGGTCGCGAAGGGGCAGGGGGGTCACTGGAATGCAGCGTCCGGAAAATAGTCATCATGTAACTCTTGACGCGTGGATCGCACGAATTGTACGGCCAGTACAGTTCGTACGGCCGTGCGGATTTACAGCTCATTATTGACGCAAATGTTTTTTTTATCATATGGTCCGCTGGTTTCGCGCTACACGAGTGCACACGTAACACATAGAACGCAAAGATGCCCCTGGAGGTCACTGCGGTGCGTTGGGGGGTACGGGAGAAAGGGTACGGTTTTGGTGTATGGTGTACGGCAACAGCCGACAACACCGCGACCGCTCCTGCCCTCCGTCTGCGCCTCTTTTCACAAATATAGGAGCTGTACGGAACGGTTGGAGAAGGTGAATGCCAGGCACCGAGAAAAGGCGATGCAAAAGAACCAGCCGCGCCGGCCGGACCCGCAGCCTCAGTGGCAGGAGGTTCCCATGGCCTGGGGGGGTCTGGACGCGGCGCCGGCGGCAGCGCCGTCGCCGACCGTACGACAGGTGCCAGCGCCAGCGGAGGCCAGCATTGGACACAAGGCATCAGCAGTGCCGGTGGCGAAGCTGGCGGCGGCGGCCGGTACGGCGGCGGCAGCTTCGCCGCCCTGCGCCGCGTCGGATGTCATGCCGTTGGACATCGACCGTACGGTGTCGTACGGCGGTATCAGCAGCGTGCCGACGCTGCCGGCGGCGGCGTCTGATCCACGGCTGGCGGTAGCGGCGGCGGTAGCCTCGGGGACGGAGGCATCTAGCTGTTTGCCGCTGGGGCCGCCGTCGGGGGGAGCCGGCAGCGGCGGCGCCGTCGCCAGCGGTACCGTTTGGCCGGGCTTGCTGGATGACAACGGCCAAGCAACTCCTGGCGGGGTTGACGGCGAGGGCCACGACACGGAGCAAATCGTACTGCCGTCGCGGGTGGTAAGTACGGGCGGCCCGGGCATTGTGTGGTACAGCACGCGACGGCCGTCGCCGCCGCGGCGGCCGGCTGTGAAGCCGCCGCCGCCGCCGCCGCCGCCCCCTCCACAGGCGGCGGCTACCGACACCGTCACTGCCGCCCTCGGCGGACGGGTTAGCCTGCCAGCGCATCAGGGCTCCGTCGGCGCATCCGCAAAGTCCAGGCCCGTGGCCAGCCGTGAGATGTTCTGGAACCGGGTGACGTCGGAGATGCCCTTACCTACAGCGCAAGGGAACTGCAGTACTGACGGCGGTGGTGCTGCGCCGTCGCCGGCGGAGCAGGCCGCCGCCACAGCCCCGCCGCCGCCGCCGCCGCCGCCGCCCCCGAGAGACGTCAGCCGGACGCTCAGCGCAGCACACGGCGTGTTGTTCCATCCGGTGCGAGTCCAAATGATGCACGTATGTAAAGATCAGCTGTGCAGCGACAAGCCGCCGCTGCCGCTGCTGCTGCCGCCGCCATCACAGCAGCAGCAGGTGGAGCAGCAGCAGCAGGAGGGGCAGATGGCGCCGCAGCCGCGGACGAGCACGCACTCAGGACCGGCGGCGGCGATCTCCGGCGGCGAAGCGCCGTGCGCACCCCGCGTGGTGGATTCCCCCCCTATGGCGCCGTCAGGGCCAATGCCGTACGAAAGTCCGCCGTGCGATGCAGCAGCGCCAATGGCAGATACCGTGTCCCGGGGCACCGCCACCAGCGGCTGCGACGATAGGTGGGTAAGTGGCGATGCTGCTGTGCGGTACGGCGCAGCGCTGACGCGGACAGCCCCGAACAACGGAACAGCCCTGTACGGCACATTAGCGCCGCCGCCGCGGGCAGCAGCGGCGGCGGTTCTGGGCTCCGCTAGGTCAGACCAATCGGCGATTATGGGCCCCGCCGCTGCCGCTGCCGCTGCCGCCGCGGCGGGAAGCTCTCCGATGAGTGCTTGTACGGAAGGTGCGTCGGGGGCTTATGGGGACAGCGCCGGCGGCGTTGACCGCAGCCACAGCGCCGTTCAGCAAGCGTCAAGCCGTCAGCTAGGTGCCGGCGGGGCCGCAGCGGAGAGTCTAGGGAGATGCATTAGCGGAGTAATGGAGGGGCTAGCGCCCCTGATGGCGAAGGTGCAGCGGCTGGCGGCGGCGGCGGCGGCGTCGCCGCCCGTTCCTGGAGATGGTAGTGGGGAGCTGGCCGGCAGGGGCAGCAGCAGCAGCGGCGGCGGCGACGGCACCGGCGCTGGCGGCGGTATCCTGGCGTCAGGTAGCCTCTCTCCAGGGATGGCGACAAGGATAGATGTACGGAATAACAGTTTGCCCGCGGTGATCGAGTCCTCCCGGGAAATCCTGGAACGGGCTACGGAGCTGACGCAATGGCTGAATCAGCAACCGCCACAACCGCCACCATCCCAGCCATCGCTGCCGCTGCTGCCACCGCAGCACCAGCAGGCCGTTGGGATGCCAACGGTCCCAACCGCTTCAACCGCCCAAACCTCTGCATGCACCTGGTCGCCACCGGAGGGATGCGCGTCATCGGGGGCTCCGGGGGCATTGCCCTTCCCGGGCCCTATGCAGGGTATGCAGGAGTACGGCAACGCAATGTACGGCAGTCATTATGTACGACGTCCGTACCCGAGCCATGCCCAACCGCCCACCGGGTCCGGGATGTATTTGCCCCGGCCCAGCTACCCCCAGCCCTACCCTTATGCCCCTCAGCAAAACCTGCAGCCCCCTCCACAGCCGATATCACAGCAACCTCAGCTGCCACCACCACCACCACAGCTTGTTGGTGGTTTGAACTCATATCCCCAACAACAGATGCTACAGCCAAGCTATTCCCAGCCTCAACCTGAACGGCTGCATCAACCACATTACGTCAACCCAGCTTTGCAGCTACAGCCTCAGATACCGCCGCCGCCGCCACAGCTGCTGCCGCAGCCCCCGCAGCTGCCGTACAGCTCCTCTGGCCAGCCTGTCGTGCTTGCGGCGCCCATTGATCACCAAGCGGCGAAAGGTCACTACTACACGCGGGCGATGAGCGCCAAGTCTGTTTACATATTGAATCCGTCGTACGGCACAGGCACACAGTACGGCCGCAACCGACCGTATCCGTGCGCACCACTCCCGCAAGGCTACGGTTTCTACGACCAAGATGCCATCTCGCCGTATTCGTACAGTTCTCAGCCGTACTCCCAGTACGGCTCGGCAACGCAGTCGCAGCTTGGAGCTGGCGGCGGTGGCGGCGGCGGCGGGGCTGTAGCTATTATTGGGAACGGATACGCCGTAGACACCAACGGCGGCGAGGCGGTAGCGGCGGCGCCGCCAGCGGCCGCAGTGGACGGCAGTAGTGCTTGGAGGGGAGATGTACCGCCGCCGGCAGCGGCGATGGTGTCGGCTGTAGCTTACGATGAAGAGGACGACGACGACGACGACGATCGAGCGTTCAACTTGCTGCTCCAGGAGATGGTGGAGGACACCGATCCCCCCCCGGGCACACCGCCGGCACAGCCTCACATGCAGCAACAACTAGGAGCAGCAGCAG